GCTTGAGATTCTTGCTTCCCTCTCCTCTGCCCCTACCTGCCCCATCGTATGGTGTGCACTCTCTCTTAAAAAAAAAAAGTCACACACACTATGACATAGTATGCAAAAATAAAAGTGGGTGTTACCCATAGCATGGCTCCTCATCCGAAAGATACATTTGCTACTTCCCACCTTGTAAAGATGTATTTGATTTACATGCTAGCAATATTTATGTGCAGATGCTGATGTAGGGGAAAGTAATTCTACCTGAGTAATAACTGGGTAAACCAAAAGTTTCTATGTAAATAATTCTGCAAGTTTACTCCCAACATGTAGTCAGAATAGTGGTTGGTAGCAGGAAAATATTTAAGAGTTCATTCTTCTTTTTAATAATATATATTTAACAACATATATGTTATGTAACATATGTATTAAAAGATATATAACTTGTAACATATTTAATATATTTATATGTTGTATATGAGATATATAAAATTTGTATGTACATAAAATAAAACATATGTGACATATATGTGAGATATTTTTATATATAATCCTTCTCCAATCATGCCACTCTAAAAAGAGAACACCCTGATATTGATACATTGTTAGGAATACTGAGATGAAAAACTATTTTGTTTTTGTTTCTTAAAATAGCAATTTATCAAACCTATTAAAATTGAAATATTATAGAGCTAGTTTTTTAGAGTCTTATAAATGGACAACTACACTGAGTTTTCTGAGAGCACAGATGTAATTCTACTATATTTGTTTCTGGTGATAGCACACTACAGATGGACTTCTTTTTGTTTTAAGATTTTATTTATTTATTTATTTATTTGAGAGAGAGAGAATGGGAGAGAGAGAGACCATGAGAGGGAGGAGGGTCAGAGGGAGAAGCAGACTCCCCACTGAGCAGGGATCCCGATGCGGGATTCCATCCCGGGACTCCAGGATCATGACCCGAGCCAAAGGCAGTCGCTTAACCAACTGAGCCACCCAGGCACCGCAGATGAACTTCTTTTTTCCTAGATTTGTGTAGAAATCAGAATATAATGTATGTAGTTAAAATCATAAAGTTGCATTTTTTTTTAAGATTTTATTTATTTATTTGACAGAGAGAGAGAGAGCACAGCAGGGGGAGGGGCAGGCAGAGGGAAAAAAAGGCTCCCTGCTCAGTGGGGAGCCCGATGTGGGACTCAGTCCCAGGACCCCGGGATCATGACCTGAGCCAAAGGCAGACGCTTAACTGACTGAGCCACCCAGGCGCCCCATAAAGTTGCATTCTAAACATTAACTTTACAGAAATGCCACGTAGTGGCTTTCTTTCCCATACTGAAAACTTTGATAAAACAACTCTGTTTTAAAATTAAAGAAGTGATGGACCACAGAGATAATAATATAGCTAATTTAATGTGCCACCTGGTACCACTTCTAACTCACAAGTCATGGACCTGAGGTACAGTGGTAAACTTGTTAAAGATTTTTTACAAAATCATTTTTGATTATTGACAAACATTTGAAAATTTCCTAAATTTGGCACAATTTGAGTACTACCACCTGAATGAAAAATAACACCTGGATGCTATCTGCCAAAGGTCATTAGGACAAAAGAGGAATTCCAGTTTCTTTTCCTCCCAGGGCTGTTTAAGGAAGCAATTAGAGTTCACATTATGGAAAAGAGGGAGGTGGGAGAGTAGAAGGGTACTGATGGCCAGTGAAGGTCAATAAATATGCAGAGAAAGAAAAGATGAAATGGAAGAACGGATATATATGGCTACCCAATCTGAACACAGGTTTAAAAAATCTTTCTGATATTCTTTCTTTCAGAGATTTTTTAAAACTGTGCTTTTAATGTTTCTTACTTTAATAGGAAATGGGTAGGCTTAAAATTATACTTCAAAGCATTAATTTTACTGGCAAATTAAATAATCAGTTACATAACAAGCATGGTTAAGTTATAGTGTAGTGATATGTTTGAGATTTCAGGGAGCACGAAAATGATTAAATGAATACACAATAGTTCTAAGATAGACCCGCTCATTTCTTCAGACCAAAACCCAACTGAACATTGTTTAAAAGGACCTGAGAAGTAGATAATTCTGCCAGTCCTGAATTACCAAGCTCTTGTCTTTTCTTTCCATGTAGATAATGTTTATATGAGCTAGATTTTTGATAACCACTGTTTAGGATTCCATTTTCACTTCTATTATCATTCATTGATGAATATTAGCTCAATTAAAAATAACAGCCAAGTAAAAAGGGCTCAGGAAGTGTTAACGGGGAATTCTTGGTCATCTAGCAGACAGAGCTTGATTATTAACTCAAACTACTGCATATTTTCCAGAAAGTTTATGGCTGACACTTCAGCTTATACGTATAAAACCACAGTGAAAAAATAAATTGAGGCAATAGCTTTTGTTGAATATTTTCTGTTCTTAAATAAAACCATTGAGTCACAATGCAACCAAAGACACCAAAAAGGCAGGATCTTTAAAATAAAAATCTATTTCTCTAGGAAAATAAAATACATTATAACTATATTTTGGTGAGGAACTGAAGATGTCTTTCTAAGAAACTTTTGCTATATTATAAAAGCATATACTTTCTTAAATGTTCATATATATTTTTCAATAAATGGATTGTACTTTGATTGCATCAACATTTCTACATCTTAAAAGTATGACTGCTATATTCCATCAGATCATTAATTACCTTAATTTCCTGAAAATTAAAATTCTCAACTTCAATGAAATTTAAGTCTTAAAAGTAACTACCATTTTGCTTCCAAGTTTTGAGAAAGTGTATATACTTAATTCTTCTAAACTACTTACATACAGAACACATGAACTAAATCCATTTCATAGATTTGACATGGGCATTATGATTCAGCTTCTTAAATCGTTTCAAAAAGTAGATGCTTATAAATATTTTATTTATATAGTAAAAAAATCATTAATAGCTAATACTTCCTCTTTTTCTTCCTGAAAGCAAAAATAAATTTCAAAATAAAATTAAAAAAATTAAAGTCATTTCAGGAAACAAATTTTAAAATAATAGTAACTTCTCATGTCTAGAATAGAACTTCTAGCTAGATGAAATTAGCATCTCATCAACATTCATTATAATACCGATATTCATATACAGTATATGGTATTAAATGATTAACTTAATAAAATTTAATTAAAATGATTCACTGATACTTCATGAAGAACACTACCATTGACACCAAATTAAAAAATATATATATTTCCTTTTAATGTTTCTTTAATTCCTCTTAAAACAGAGTTCTCTTTTTTATTCATATGTATTTCTGATTTGAAGTCCTGATAGCGATTTGCACTATCCGATTGTCCCTAACAAAGATTTCATATGACAAAAAGACAAGACTCAAAACCACACACACATATAAAATTCTCTTTGATAAGAAATAAGCACCTATATTACACCTTCAAAATTTGTCCCAAAACTACCAACAAGATAAAATGGACATATAAGCAGTTGGATATGAATTTTCACTCATTCATTTTTTTTTTAATGAACCAGTAGGTCTTAAAAAAATATGTGAAACTAAATCAAAATCACAAGTAGTGTACTTTAGTTTAGCACAATTTCTTAACTAATTAACTCAGCCAAAAATTCTTCACATATGAAATACTCCATTAGTTGGCCATATGACGATATGAGAATTTCTGTTCAACACAATATGTCTAATACAATTAAGTTGACTTTATAACCACACTGTCATTTAAAGAAGACAATTAAATGAGCGAGAAACAAAACTTTAAAAAGCAACCTTGGGAATAACTTTTTCCTACAGGCATTACCAAACCCTTTTGAACTGATTAACTATGCAAGAAAAGCAGCATAAAGCTGAAGAAAGGGCACTAACATCACTACCTAGCTTACCTAAGAACTCATAAAAGTAAAGGGCTCTAACCATTTTATTTTATTAGAGCCTATAATATATAAATTGTGCTATTTTTCTGCAGTTTGATTAACACTAATCATTTCATACTTTTCCTTTTTTCTACCATCTAAAAAAAAATCTTAATCCTAGCTTCATATTTATTTTTCGAAAAAACATTAATCTGGGATATGGCCCATTGGTTGCAAAACACCATCACCCCCAAATAAAAGAATACACAGAAGAATTCTAGAAGGAAATTAGAGTGCACAAAATTCTATAATACAATCGGCCCCTGGTGACCATCAGTCTCACCAAATACTACTCTGTCTTCTACATGTTTTCAATGGTCACAGGCCCATTGCCTGATGGGATCTGTAGTTTCTAAAAAAAGACTGCCTGAGTGATAGTCATTGACTTCTTTTTTTTGAAACTATGAACCTATAGTCTTAAATATGTTGCAAATATCAGTCTACTTCATTTTGTAGAGTTGACCAGTTCCAGCCCTGATACTCTAAAACTGCATGACTTATTGGCCAAAATGAAAATGCATGTATATGAATATGTACATAGATATTATAAAATCCCTGGATAATGATATCTATAATCCATGTTTTATAACGTTATAAAATAAGAATTATGATTCTTAGAGGAAAAATGACAAAACTATCTACTTATATGAAAATAATACTTCAAATATACATGAAAACTTTTCACTTGAATACACTGGAACACTTTCGAGGCATTTCAATACATATTATGCATATTCATACCTTTATTTGGGCAACAAATTTGTGTTTTTCATTATCATATCTTCATGTATTGATATATATATATAATATTATCTTTCCCATATTCAGGAATTCTAAAATTTCTTTGTGTATTTACCACTTTCAGGCATCAATACTCAACATTTGCTAGCAAATCCCCTAAATACTTCAATCGCTATGTCATACCCATTTCATAGGGAAAGAGTTACTCAAAACCATTTGGAAAATGCTTTCGTAAACCCATTTAGAAAAGAGATATTTCCTCTGAATTCTGTAACCTTACTGTGTCCACAATCACCTCACATACACTCAACCTCCATCCCCTTTCCCTTGATGGCACCTACCCTAGTGTAGTCATGGTGACGATGGTGTACCAGAAGGCAGCAGGGATGCTGGTGAACTTGCTGGCTGAAGACCCCTTCTCTGCGTAGAACATGACTGTGGCAAAAATGATGATAGCCATGGTGAGCGAGAAGAGCAAGAAGCCCAATTCTGAGGCACAACTCTTCAGTGTGTACCCCAGGATGCGCAGGCCTTGAGAGTGGCGGGAAAACTTAAAGATCCGGAAGACCCGGAAGACTCGGAGCGTGACAAAGGCTCCGCTGACATCCTCATTGTCTGTCATCACCAGCCCGATGTAATAAGGCAGGATGGCCACCACATCGATGATACTCATGACACTACGCACAAAACGGTAACGACTAGGTGCTGCAGCCAGGCGAAGCAAGTACTCAACTGTGAAGATCATGACGCAGGCTGTATCCAAGCAGAAGAAGGCCACTGCATACCGCTCCCCACAAGGCAGCTCCTTAATGTGCCCGGGGCTAGACCCGCACGGCACTGTTTCTACCACATTCGCGATGACTGAGACAGCAATGAAGAACCCTGTAACATAGTAGAACACCAGGGCCATTGTGCTGGTGTGGGGGTTCTCAAATGCCCGCCAGACCCTCTGCCGAGCAGTCATAGTGGGCAGCGTGCTCTCTCCGGTGTTGTCAGTATCTGCGTCGTCCTGTAGACGCTCCGCGTTCTCCCGCCTGCGGTCCTTGTACTCCTCATAACAGCAGTCGCCAATAATCTCTGGGATGAGGCCAAAGAAGGCCAGTTCTTCATCATAAGCAGAGATGCACTCATGGCGAGGATAGTGGAGCTTCCCGGTGCGGTAGAAATTCAAAATATGGCGGAAGATGTCTGGGTCACGGTCAAAAAAATACTGCTGAGTCTCCGGATGGTAGAAAAAGTCCCTCTCAGAACTGCCCAGCAGAGTGTCTGGATAGCGTTCCAGGGTGTCCTGCCATGTCTGGAAACGGGTGCCACTCACATTGAGCACAATCAGAGCATCTTGAGTCCTTTTTCTCTCCTGCCTTGGGGGAGCTGGCATGGGCCCCGAGGCCACAGGCATCCACCCAATGGCTGCTGCCCTGGCAAAGGGCAGCCAGGCTGCTACACCCGCCGCCATGGTTCCTTGACGTGGAGGCAAGAAGGGCAGTCAGGCCTCTAGGACGGGGCAAAGTAGCCACAATCACTCACTTCCTCCCGTCAAACAAAATACCACTGAGAAATGAGGTCCGGAAGTATCACTCGTATGCCAGCGTAGGGCTCCTGGTGAAGTCACAGTTCGCAGAAGGGCAAGTTTCCCTCCAACACAGGAATTTGTAGCAGGAAGAAGAAGAAAATACAATGTCCTAACAATCACGCCCAGCAGAACCTAACCAAACCTCTTCCAGCAGTTGAACCAGGCCACTCCTGGCACAGATAAGTACACAGGTGACTCTAGATGCAGCAATTTCTTCAAACAGGTGTCTGAGTTCTCCCCTGACACAGTCTGGATAATGTAGGGTCAGTATGCGTCGTGTAGGATAGAGAAAACGAAGGGCAGTCACTCAGTGGTATTCTTTTGATGATTTAGAGAACCCCTCCACCTTCCCCTTTAGGTCTTTCAAACCTTCCCTTTCCAAGTGGCCCTTCCCGCCAAAGGAGTCTCAGAAAGGCGACCTGTTGTTTTAGCTTCCGAGATGCGGTCACAGCCGCTGCCCCATGTCTCTTTGGGAGTCCGGTCGCCGCCTCTACTCCTTGGGCCGTGTTTGCAGAGATGGAGGTGCTGTGCGGTGGGCACGGTGGGGGGCGTTGTACAGATCCTCCTCCCCCACGTCTACAAGCACCCCCTGTGTCTGTCAAAAGCGTCTGCCCAATCGCCCCTTCACTCTCTTTTCAAGTTCAGCTCAGGTGCAGTGTGACAGTTACAGAAGCCGGGAGCTGGCAGTCGCCGCCGCGGCGGCGGCAGCAGCAGCATCTGCCTCCGCGCAGAACGCGCCTCGCTCGCGGTACATACCTGGCAGAGTGCGCGCCGGGGCTGAGTTGCATAGAGACTTTCTCCTCGCCGTGCACCAGCAAAGGGAAAAGCAGAGAAAGCAGCTCCCGAGCAGCCGAATCCGATGCGCTCAGAGAGCATAAATAAAGCTCAAGCGAGCTCTTCTTCCCCTTCCCCCATCCCTCTATGCTTCCCTCCTCCTTTTCACCTTCCAAAAGCCAGGCGCAGGCGAGCCGAGCAGCAGCAACAAGTTCAAAAGGTGCGGGGGAGGCGAGAACGGAGGGGACTCGCTCCTGCCAACTTACTGCGCCGCCGCTGTCGCCGGGGCCAGAGCCGGGCGGTGCGGGGCTGCGGAGCT